AGAGAGAGAGAGAGAGAGAGAGAGAGAGAGAGAGAGAGAGAGAGAGAGAGAGAGAGAGAGAGAGTGCCAAACAGCACATCGGAAAAAAGGGGAAAAAAAAAACGGCAATATTCTACGACGATGTCCTCCCTCTCCTTCCCCCCCCTCCTCTTCGGCCGCAGCATAGCTGCGGCGGGTCCACTTGTTCAGCCTAAAAATATAGCAATAATGACCGTACGTTGTGTTCGGGTGAAGAAAGTAGGCCCTTAGAATCACAGAATCACAAAATCAGTGGCCAGATGAAGTCCTGATTTTAGGACGCAATTTGCCTGCTGATTTTGTGATTCTGCCATTATAAGGGCCTAGTACACCCTGATGCTAAGCAAAATCAGAACGGACAAAAATCATAGAGCATAGAATAAATGCAGCAAGAAATAGACCAACAGAAACTCTGACGAAAACATAATTTCGTTTTTTGGTAGTATGAAAATAGAATTTGCCCAAAAATGAGTACCTAAACCAATCATCATATCTTTGGCCAAATATCCTACAAAAAGACTTCCAAAAGCCAAAAGTATTAAAGGGATTGCCATCAGAGTAGGAGCATCATGACATCTTTCGATGTCTCGCTTAAAAGCATTGGTTGGAGCAAGAAAAGTGAGAAAAAGTAAACGAAAAGAATAATAAGAAGTCAAAAATATGTTGACCCATCCCAGTCCTCTCGTACTAGGGATGGATTCTCTCAGCTCTCTTCAAATCACCAACGGTAGATAGGAACTGAACTGTCTCACGACGTTCTAATTGTTATGTTGGCCACTAGCCCGCTCGAGCCTGTTGTTGCTCAGTATACATACACTAGTAGCACTCTATGTATCTGACTCCAAGCTGCCTGAATGAAGTGAACCGAAGACGAGCACAGTGCTTGTGGCTCTATGGTCGCCCAAAATGTGGGTCGCGTGACCTAAGGGCCTGCTGCTCCACAGTCGGCAGAAGGCCTAAGCACTGGGTATAGGCCCTGCTATCGTCTTCCCCCAGAGTGAATGTACGGTCATTACAGTTGTAGTTCGGGCATCTTTTAGCGTAGATCCCTATGCTATGAAAATCGCTGATGTAAGAAATCTTGAATTTGGGCGTCCCCATGAGGCAGGGCGCGCACGAACATGCTTCCCCCAGGGTTGAATAGGGTGCTCGTCCTGAGTGGTAGGCACTGAGATGGGCTAGGGGGAGCAATCATGAGAAAGAGAACCCAAGTAAGGACTCAATCACCAGCAAGAAATCTAAGTTTCAATTTTGGAATCCTTGCATTCTGAATGGATCTTGCTAAAGGATTTGCTTTCTGGAAAGAAGAATCATGTCTTTGTTCTGCAGTAGACGAAAGGCAACCGATTCTGGAGCTTAGAGTTTGGCAATGTCTTTCCACCTTGCTCCTCAGTCTGCTGCCTGCCTGCCTGCTTATCAGCTGATTGGTTGAGCACTCGGTCCGTCTGTCTACTAAGACGTTGAAAGTCTGCTGTCTCTTGTTGTCTGTATCTGACGGTCTACTTGTGGCTGCCTGTCGATTGGTCTGGTGGTGCACAGCGCTGATTGTCTATCTGCCAGATCCTTGTTTTCATTCAGAACCCTATTACATATGCACAAGTACTCATGTCTGTGTGTGTTTTGTATTTGCTAACCGAGAGATACTCTGTGTGTGTGTGTGTGTGTGTGTGTGTGTGTGTGTGTGTGTGTGTGTGTGTGTGTGTGTGTGTGTGTTGTCTACAGTGTTTGTGAGCCACAACCCATTCCAATCCTGTCTGTCTCTCCATAATTTGCTATGCCTTGCTTATCCTTTGTACTTGCTTTCCCCGATGTTCCCCTCTGCATCCCTTGCCCTCTTTCTCCTGATCTGTTCTTGTATGTACTTGACCCCCAAGGTCCCTCACAAATTCGATACCACCTTCCATCTGTCCTACTCTCTGTCGCTCTCAGTGGCTATCCCTCTTGAGCGGGTTTCTTATCGCTCTGTCGAATGGGACGGAGGAGGTGGGTACTCACCTGCTTACACGACGTGCTTACCACCATTCATCGCTAATCGTGACTGTGGCTATCCTTCTTGAGCACGTTTCTCATCCCTCTGTTGAATGGCATGGCGCAGGTGGGTGCTCTGAATGCATCATCTGTTTACGCGCCGTGCTTACCACCATGCATCAGTATTCTTCACCATCGTTGAACGTGGAGAGTGTGTTAGCTTCTGCACATTCAGTGGAGCGAAAACTTTGCTCACAGGTTTCTGTGCCTTGCAGTCTCGCTGGATTCGCGTTCCTGTTCTCCTTCGGACTTGGGCTGCAAGTCCTGGTGAGTTAGCCCCCATGTACAGAGCTTACCTTCCATGCATTAGTGATGGGTGGTGGTTGGCTGTGGCAATGTGGGTTTTTCCAGTGCTCCAGAAACAAGCAAAGTACTAACCAGCCATGGTTGTAGATTGGTTACGTCAATGGTAGTAGCATGCATCAGAGCTACTGTGTGATAGTTGTGTCACTGTTTGCGTGGGATCTGTGTTCATTGGATAGTGAAGCTGGCTGGCTGGTGGCATATGATGTTGGAGAACTGCGAAGATACGTGGGAGTGACGTCAGCTCTATAGCCCCTATGCTAGGTGCTTGCAATGGTCACTGACAGTCAGGCCCAGCTGTCACTATGTGCACCACTAAGTAGTGGATCTGGTCTCTGAAAAGCCAGGTTACCTGGCCCAGATCAGTAGTGGTGGGTCCCACACCTGTTAATCACGACCAGCCTTGTGAACCACCTCGTGTCAGAATACAAGAGACAAGTATGTCAAGTAGTTTGAAGGAATGATCATACTGGCTTCTTGACATTTCACTCCTGCTCGTGCGGAAGATGGGCACCATTATCCTGTGTTGGAACACACCCCTCAACACAGCCCTCATTTCACTCCTGCTCTTCCTCCTCCCCTTCCTCCTGTTGCCCCACATAACTCCTCGGCCACTTCTACCTCCTCACTTTCTCTGTCTCCTCTTCCAGATCTCTCGTCCTTGCCTGCCTTCTGCAGTACCTTCCTTCTCCCCCGTTCATCGCCGTCGACTCCTCTTCCATACCCCCCTCTCCACTCCTTCTCCATCTTCTCTTCCTCTGCTCACCTTCTCTTCCTCTTCTCACCTTCTTTCTCCTCTCCCTCCCTTCCGTCACCTTCTCCTCCTTTCACCCCGTTTCTCTCTTCTCCTCTACCTACCCACTTTTCAATCCCTTCCTGTCCATAATTTCTAGAAAGTTCATCGCCATTGGCTGTATTGTCGTCATGATTATCTTTGGAATGTGCAAAAGCCTTTGTTCATATTTCTGGCCTTTTTAAAAATTGGGTAATCTCTAAAACCTTCTGTGCACCCCTGAAATGGATGGAAAGTGCAGCAGTGTTTTAGTTGCAGGGACTGGGGGTCCCGATTCTCTGTGCTAAAATCCTGCAAATCATTGTTTCTCCGACTGTTTTCTGGAGGCATCGGACTGCTTAGCGGTCTGCTTTATCTAGTTGGGGTAGGATGTCCAATGCTCAGTATAGATGGACTTATTTAGTGCCAATGCTGAAGATAGGCAAGTGCGACCTTGGCAGTTGGACCCCAGGTTGTGGGGTCATGTTGTCCAGGCCAGGTGGACCCAAGGCTATTCATTGTGGGAATGGTCCGTATTCAGGCCTCGTTCCATTACCCATCATGTAAACCCAATGCCACTGGAAGCTCCATGCTCGGCCATGTCTGTCAGGTTGTCGTATGCGGGCCTCTGGTTGGCTCTATGACCTCTCTGTGCCCTGGAAGAATTTTGTATGCAGATATGACAGGGTGTTGTGTATGTGCACGTTTCGCCCTTGTTTCGCGGCCTTATTGACTGTGTACAGGCTGTCTTTTCAGTGTTTTTTTCTTTGTTCCTTCTTTGTGCCTAGGGCCAATTGGTCTTTGGCTTCTTGTTGTGGTGGGGAACTGACGGTGGGGGTGGTTGGTGGATGGTGGGCTCATTGCGGCAGGGCTGCGCACTATGGAACAACTGGTGGCCAATGCTAACAGGTTAGTTCCAACCACTTGAGACCATGGTGTCTGTTTTGATATTGAAACACCAACTGAGGTCACTTCACCCCTACAGAGCAGGCGCTATCATCACAAACTCAATCAAGGACACTAAGTTTTTAGATAACCCAGGGATTCTGATGTATGAAGTTGAGTGCGATTCCCCGAACTGGATATGGAGGAGGGATTCTGAAGTATTAAGTTGTGTGCAATTCCTCAGAGTTGATATGGGGAAGAACATGGGATACTGGGATTTGGAAAGTGAACAGGGAGGGATTTTCAGCCAGGAAAAGAGGAGCACAAATTGAGGGATTTTCAGCCAGGAAAAGAGGAGCACAAATTGATGAGATCTTGAAAGACAGAGACACTAACCAAAAGAGAGAGAAAGGATGAACAACTGCGTGAAGTGCGAACAAGAAAGAAGTATTTGATCAAATCCTGTTGAGCCCTTGGTAGGGTGGAGGATACTTAGTCAAATTCTGTTGAATCCTTGGTAGGGTGGAGGACCTGGAGGACATGAGGGCGTACTGCTCGTAGGTCCGACCACATGCTTTCAGTGAGGCTTGGGAAGTGAGTACAGTGCCCTGGGTCACCTGAAGAGATGTGATGGATAACCTTGCACCGCACGCGGAGTTCTGTTCCCTTGCCTGTCCTATCCGAAGTTCAAGTGCGAAACTGAAACTTCCCATACAGACCCGAGGGTTCTGTCATGCTGAAATGGCTCAGGGTTACGTCCCAAAATTAGAGAAAGGGGAAAGGGCAAAAATAAAACGAGGACAAAAGGGCGGTGAGAGTTGATGCGTCTGAGGAGAAAAATGAATGTGTGTACAGCATGTCTGCCCAGCGTGAAGGGAAGAAGGGGACAATGGTAACTCGTTCCTCAAAATTTAAATGGGAATTAGCTTCAAGTAGGGACAATTTGGACAAAGAGTAGTTTGAGGAGGACGATGACATACCCATCTGGTGACAGGGTCCGGTATCGTGCGCATGGTGGCTCTCCGGGAGCATTAATGGAAATTTCACAGTGCCTGGTAACTCAGCCTTAACTGACGATACGAACTGGAATTGCCCTTCTTGGGGGTTCGAGGTGGCATGCACTGGCGATGAGGGGAGGGCCGTCACGTTCGAGTACGGGAGGATAACTGGGTAGGGGCCGTCAAAGGAAGCACAAGCCCATCACCGCTGAAGTGAGATGCAGAAGTGAAATCGCCAGGTGCATCCTAGAGCGTATCACGCTCGTGTTGCAGTAAATCCCATCCTCATCTGCGACGGGGTGCAGAAGGCCGCTATGTCGTACGGACGAAAATTCAGAATACAGCCGAGAACCTATTCTGCGAATAGAGCGAGGAGAATCCATACAACTGAGACTGCGAAAACACAGACAATCCGAGCAACATTGAGGCTTCAGTATAAAACAGCACACACAGCTCCTCTCTTTCTCTCTCTCCTCTCTCTGTATGGCTCACTGGCAAACCTCTCTCTCTCCCCCTCTCTTCCCGCCCCCCCGTGTGCTCTTCTTCTATCACCTCTCCGTCTCTGCCCCTCTCTTTTTCTCTCCCCTTCTCTGTCTCTCCTAGCCTGTCTGCTTGTCTTCCTCCATCTTTCTCCCTGTCCTTCTTTGTCCGTCAGCATCTTCCTCTCTCTCTTAACTGCTCTCTTATCCTCCCTCTGTCTCTCTCTCCCTCCTCATCTCTCTCTCAGAGCCTGTCTCCAGCGCCCACCACCTCTATTCACAGCTCCGCCTCTCTCTCTCTCTCTCTCTCTCTCTCTCTCCTGTCTCTTATACACATCTAGATGTGTATAAGAGACAGGTGATTTTCCACCCCGACTTGCAGCATGAATTTCGGCGTTCCCTTTCGTGTCACTGACCGCGAGTGTTTGAGGGATCGGAAATTTCGGGAATATTGGGAGCACTCTTGTTTGCCTGCACAACCTTGGGCGAAATCTTCGAAATTTCCCTACTTGATGGGGAACGAACGTAGTTGCAAGTGGGACCTCGACCAGGCCTTGGGACGTAATCCCCATCTCCCCAGCTACTCTAGCCCAGACACGTGTCACGTCCTCACGGGGCCCGGAATCATTATCTTAGGGACCGAATTCCGTCCTTATCACTGCATCCTACCCTCCCACTCCCTAACCATCGTCCCCTGGTTCGCAATCGCTCCTTACTGGCCCCAACGCCCGTGCTCAGAGTGTCTGCGGGACCACGAGTACTGAGCCTCCGACTTCATCCGGCGAACTAGTTCGGAGGAAGAACGACGGGCGCACAGTCTTCGATTGAGGCCAGCCGCGTCGGATTCGGAGACTTGCGACGTTCGACGTCGGCAGGTGACGAATCAGTGGGATACCTATAGTGTCCCGATAGTGCACCAGATACGACCCCGACCCGGACGACGGAACCAACGGAGGCGGTAGCTCTGTCCCCCGAAGCAAAACAGAACTCCAGTCCGCGCCTACCCTCCTGCATTCGTATCTCGGAGCTTGCCACAAGAGATCTCAGTTCCGATCTTGGACTCCACCCACACTTTCCTAAAATCCTTGGCACACCCCCTTTTCGCACTTCCAGGCCCACTCACACTCCGATGAGGAAGTCGCGCCGGGCGTGAGGTTGGGCGCCACAACGTACAGTAATTATAGCTGCTTTTTGGGGTACTTCCCTATACTACTCAAGGAAACAGCGGTCCTCGCATGGGGCCCAACAGAAACTGGGCGGCGGCTTGTGGGACCGGTGATGGGCAGCGGGTAAGGGGGAACCGGTGGAACCCGGGCCGAGGGGCAGAAAAATCCCCGGTGCGCGCGGGCAGAAGAGAACCCGGTCCGGCGTCGGATGAACCGGGTCGTCTTCTGCTACTGTGGTGTGGGATTTGTCGGTATGTCGGGCAATCGGGGCTAAAGTGACGCGACGGGCGGGGCGGAGCGAGAAGTGCCATGGGATGAATCAACTACCGGCGAGGCGACGGGCGGGGCGGCGTCCTTTCGTGCGGGAAAAGGGGGGAGGAAGGGAGGGAGGNGAGAGAGAGAGAGAGAGAGAGAGAGAGAGAGAGAGAGAGAGAGAGAGAGAGAGAGAGAGAGAGAGAGAGGGAGAGAGAGAAATTTGGTTGAAATTGACCATGGATTTGTGTGCTGTGGCTTGATGATGGGTTATCCATGTGGCAGCTCTCATGTACATCATGGTGCCAATGCCTTGCATGTTCTTTGGAGGAGGATCGTCATCTGATTTCTTCAGTGTGAATTCATATGGGAACGAGTGAGTAGCCGTTGCTTATTGCATTTCCTCGACTCCCGTTCCAGCTTCATTGTTGTTCTGTCTCTAATGTGCATTGCCATAGATTAGTTTTGATCAGTATGCCATATGTGCGGTATTGATCGATCACTGAACATGTGTTAGGTCCCTGGAAATTAAACAGACCTGTGTGGCTTTAGAATGGTAGGCATTGGTTGTATGTGGGAATGAAACTGAGCAGAACCGAAAAAGTATCAAGTGCTTTCCTGGACCCTTTTGCAAGGAACCAATATGTGAGAACAGAATAGTTCTTATTAACACTGAAACAGTAGCTGACCAATCGGGTACGTCTCTGCCTGCACTACTTCCTAGTCTAGTCTATAATGTACTACCCTTCGAGCTTTCTCCCTCGCGTGCGGGAGAGTCTGACCATGCTGGAGCTCCCTCACCAACCACCAGGTAAGTATCCTCCACTTCCACAGCCTTCCTCACTTCCCACCTCACAACCCTTCTTCAGGTGCGCCCACGCTCTAACTATGGTGTGCATCCTCCCATTGAGCCGGTAGCACTGCTCTCAGGGCACTGGGCTGTTATGCTGCACAAATTCACAATGTCAGCTTTCAGCCAGCTACCGCCAGCTGCCGGAATGTTCACCTGCCATGGCGTGGACTTCTGTTCCGGAGGCGTGTGTCTCATAGTGCCGGGTAGGGGCTGCCTACTGACCTGGTGCCTGCCGAATCAGGTATCGCCACGGTCAAGGCCTTGATTTGGGGTGCACCGGCTCCTCTACCTGGCTGTGGCCTTCCTGCCTTCCCGCACCGGCCTTAGGGCGCCAAATCCGGTCCTCCTTAGGTTTGAAACTCCTCCGAGGTATCAGTTGGTCTTGCCTTTGCTCTGTTGAGAGCCCTCTCGTAGTGCAAAACCACTCGGGGTGCAGACTTCATTAACTCTTCTACACTACCGATCTTCACAGGCATCCATGGAGATGTCTGAAGTGAACCTGCAACTGGCATTATGGCTTCCGTTGTTTTCCCCTGCCTGTTGGCTTAGGGATCGGGAGCTATATGTGCTCAACGATTCGATCAGTATCCGGGGGTAGCAGCATTAATCGTCGAGACGGAAACTGGTCTTTTTCCTGAACAGCTTGGATGCATGAAAGTCTCGGTAAGTGCGGAAATTTAGAAGGAACGTCAATCACCCACGCTCGCTGGACCGTCAGGATCATCCTCTTTTCATATCTAATACTCCCCATGGTCTTTCCGGGATGCCAAGTCGCGAACCTGGAACGTAGTCATCCTTCTAGGCTGCGTTCTTTGTCTATCGTGACGTGCTGAGATTTCTGAAACTGTTATACTGTTTTCCAAAGAGTCGTGTCCATAGGGTGTATCTGACGTTTGGTCTAGAAACAAGAAATTGAAAGGCGTGCTTGGTTTCCGGTGAATGTTTGGATATTTGAGTGTATTGCCAGTGGCTGAATGGGCCACTTTATATTTATATATACTTCTCCCTCTCTGCCTACGGTTTACCGGGCAGTTCTATTTGACGATATATATAGCTGTCTCTTATACACATCGAGAGAGAGAGAGAGAGAGAGAGAGAGAGAGAGAGAGAGTACGTCCATGGATTGTTTAAACAACATACCGGCCAACAGGTAAGTCTCCAAGCCCGCAGCTGGCCTCACGCTACTTCCATCGATAGGGCGAGCAAAATCGATCGAATCTTCCGCTAGAACATTAAAATATACAATACTACACGTGTGTGTGTGTGTGTGTGTGTGTGTGTGTGTG